GACAGGAAAATGTCATATGTTGCAGCTTAAAGTGGACCTGTCATAAGATATAGGTGTCCATGTCCGTGTCATCCTCCCCTCCTCACAGAGATCACGACTCCCCCCGACAATGCCTTCATCTTTCTCGCCAAAAGAACGGCACCATCTTTGTTCAGGCATCATCAGGGGTCATCACCTACTTCCTGGGCTGAGTTACAATGTACAGTCTGATCAATGGGGGAGGGGAGACTGAGGAAATGCTTCCTCCTGCCTGCAGCAGACTGATCACTGGGGGGAGGGGAGACTAAGGAAATGCTTCAGCCTCCCTGCAGCAGACATCACTGGGGGAGGTGGAAATGGTTCCTCCTGCCTGCAGCAGACTGATCACTGGGGGGAGGGGAGACTGAGGAAATGCTTCCTCCTGCAGACTGATCACTGGGGGGATGGGAGACTAAGGAAATGCTTGCTTCCTCCTGCAGACTGATCACTGGGGGAGGGGAGACTAAAGAAAATGCTTCCTCCTGCCTGCAGCAGACATCCCTAAGGGAGGGGAGACTGAGGAAATGCTTCCTCCTACCTGCAGCAGACTGATCACTGGGGGAGGGGAGACTGAGGAAATGCTTCCTCCTGCCTGCAGCAGACACCACTGGGGGAGGGGAGACTGGAGAAATGCTTCCTCCTGCCTGCAGCAGACTGATCACTGGGGGAGGGGAGACTGAGGAAATGCTTCCCCAGACCCAGTGGCATCACTGGGGTGACACCATCAGAGGGGGTGACACCACAATGACTGACAGTCATTGTGGTGTCACCCCCTCTGAACAGTCGGGCAATCGGTCATGGACCGAGAGCCCGACATTTGCAGGAGAGAGGAGGGGACCCCGCAGCATACCTTATCCCGCCAGGTGAACGTCCCCCTCCTCTCTTGGTGATGGACACCGGCAGGTAACAGCGGTACAGCGGGGTGTCACCAGGTACCTGCAACGGGTGTCACCCCGCAACGGGTGTCACCCCACATCAGGACTCCTCTGCTCAGACCATCAGCGAGACAAGGGGGGGCACCAACACATACATTGTATACACATTGCATAAACACACACTGTATGCACACTGCACAAACACACATTGTATACATATTACACAGACACATTGTATACACACTGCACAGACAAACATTGTGTACACAGACACATTGTATACCCACTGCACAAACACACATTGTATACATATTACACAGACACATTGTATATACACACTGCACAAACACACATTGTGTAAACATTTTACACACTGTTGTCACCTGGGTTGGCTGCTGTCAGGCTCTCCTCACCATAGAGTGGTGAGATGAGGACGGAACGCTGTCTGCAGGTCACCATAGAGATGCGGCGATCTGAGGGGCCGGCTGCTCTATGCGTATTGCTGGGGAGGAGCGGCCCCTGCTGGCGACTCTACGCTATAACGGCTCATTCTGCGCAGTGTGAATGCTGCTGCCTTCTATCGGCCGGTATCGTCACTGCATTAATTAATCCTTCCTGCCCCAGACTGTGTCCCCGTGTGTCGGTGACACCGTGGAATACCCCCGGGGACGGAGAATCCATCTATGTCCTGTCCATGTCCCTGCCCAGCCGACCTGTCTGTGGATAATAATCTCAGCCCAGGTCTCTTTTATAAAGACAAGGGACCCATTTTATTGTTATCTGCAGCCGTAAAGCCATCCAGATGATCCAGTTCTCTATACGACATCATACATGTCCTCTCTATACGACATCATACCTGTCCATCTATACCACATCATACATGTCCCGTCTATACCATATCATACATGTCCCATCTACACGACATCATACATGTCCCATCTATACGACATGATACATATCCCATCTACACGACATCATACATATCCCATCTATACTAAATCATACATGTCCCATCTATACCGCATCATACAAGTCCCATCTATACCGCATCATACAAGTCCCATCTATACCGCATCATACAAGTCCCACCTACACCACATCACACATGTCCCATCTATACAACATCATACATGTCCCTTCTATACATCACACATATCCCATCTATACCACTTCATTCAAGTCCCATCTATAACGCATCATGCATGTCCCATCTGTCTTATACAGTGTCACCAGAACAGGAAGTTAGGGGAAATTTAGCAAAATGACACATTGGGGACCCATTTTATTGTTATCTGCAGCCTTAAAGCCATCCAGCTCTTCCCCTTCATCCTGAGCTCAGTAATACAGACTCCCTGGAGTTGGTTTGTGAGAGATAACATCCGGCACAGCAGTCTGACATTTCAGGGGGATGATATCATATATTATTCTATCACAGTGTGTGTGTGTGTGTGTGTGTGTGTGCGTGTGTGTTATATGACTGACAGCTGGTTGATTGACAGTTGCCCTGGCCAGTTACCAGCAGTGGGCGGAGCTTCCAGTTGCTGGGGTTTTCTGTAACTGTCACTTTTAACAGATTTACTGGCAGCGTTGACAGGTATGGATGCATCATACATGTCCTCTCTATACGACATCATACATGTCCTCTCTATACGACATCATACCTGTCCATCTATACCACATCATACATGTCCCATCTATACCACATCATACATGTGCCATCTACTCAACATCATGCATGTCCCATCTACTCAACATCATGCATGTCCCATCTATACCACATCATACATGTCCCATCTACACTGCATCATACATATCCCATCTATACCACTTCATACATGTCCCATCTACACAACATCATACATGTCCCATCTACACTGCATCATACATATCCCATCTATACCATTTCATACATGTCCCATCTACACCACATCATACATGTCCCATCTACACAACATCATACATGTACCATCTACACCACATCATACATATCCCATCTATACCACTTCATAAAAGTCCCATCTATAATTTATCATACATGTCCCATCTGTTATAACATGACAGGGAGGAGGGGCATAAAGATGGGCAGATATGTGACCTCCCCATCTGTCCCTCCCCAGTCACTAGATTCACTGGAGCTGTTGCCAATCTGGTTGACGTTGGGCAGGGAGCTGCCATAGCAGGACCCCCGCATGTGTGACATATACAGCTTCTGCATCTGGACCTGCAACACCAACAGCATCACTAAGTACCCCCAGGGACCAATCAGAGACCAGCTCACTGGTTGCTATGGGAAACCACACCATTTTCTTTAACACAGGTTATGTGATGGTCAATCATGTAACAGGTGGGCATTGCGCTGTCGGTCAGTTCACAAGTGAGGACCTGGCGGTGGGTCAGATGACAGGTGGAGATTGGCAGTGGGTCAGGTGACAGGGGGGGATATGTTGGTGTTTCAAGTGAAAGGTTGGGATCTGTCGGTGGGTCAGATGACGGGTGGCAAACTGGCTGTAGGTCAGGTGACAGGTGAGGATCTGGTGGTGGTCAGGTGGGGATTTGGCGGTGGGACGGGTGAGTATCTGGTGGTGGGAGAGGTGAGGATCTGGTGTGGGTCATGTGTCGATCTGGTGGTGGGTCAGGTGACAGGTAGGGATTTGGCAGTGGGACAGGTGAGGATCTGGTGGTGGTCAGGTGGGGATCTGGTGGTGGGAGAGGTGGGGATCTGTTGGTGGTCAGGTGGGGATTTGGCGGTGGGACGGGTGAGTATCTGGTGGTGGGAGAGGTGAGGATCTGGTGTGGGTCATGTGTCGATCTGGTGGTGGGTCAGGTGACAGGTAGGGATTTGGCGGTGGGACAGGTGAGGATCTGGTGGTGGTCAGGTGGGGATCTGGATGGTGGGACAGGTGGGGATCTGATGGGTGGGGGATCAGGTGGGGGATCAGGAGGTGGGTCAGGTCACATGTGGGGATCTGGCAGTTGGTCCGGTGGGGATCTGGCAGTGGCTCAGGTGGGGATTTGCAAGTTGGTCAAGTGATAGGTGAAGATCTGGCACTGGGTCAGGTGACAGCTGGGGAATCTAGTGATGGTAGTTGGTCAACTTAAAGATGGCAATCTAGCAGTGGGTCAGGTGACATGTAGGGTTCTCGCCTTGGGTCAGGTGACAGGTGGGTATCTGGTAGTGGGTCAGA